GGATGCCGCGCGCTGGGTCGGAGATCTTGAGATCCCACGGGTGCGCGCGTGGGCGGTAGGGCCTGCCCAGGAAAGGGGGGTGGGGGCTGGGACTCGGGGGGTTAATGGCCTCCAAGGGGCCCCGTGAGTAGGATTATTTTCTCTCAGAGAAATTCCTCCGCCTGCGGTTTCTTAAAGGGATCACTAAACCAGCCTCTTGCGCGCGCCCCTGATGCGCAGGCGCACCTTAAGCCCCTCCTTCCTTTCCCACCAAGCCCCCGGTCCTGAGCCTGCGCGGTGAGTAGCCCAGGGTAGGCCAAATCCTCCAAGTCTCTTTGCTGCCAGCAGCTACTCCCACCACTCAACTATGGCCGCTGCCTTAAAGGGACCATGACACAGTGATGAAGGAGGAATGAAAGAAATGAGTGAAAGGACTATCTGGAGAATTGGGTGGAATGTGGTTGGGGGGGGGGTCCATATCACCATCTTACACCTGACTGCAAAGATACCATTGCAAAGAGAAAATGGTGGTGAACTGAAGTTCTCAGTGGACCTCTGAAGGTGAAGAATCCCAACCAATGAGAGAACAGCCAGTCGTGTCAAGAAGAACCACTCCTCTGCCTTTAGACAGCCTGGTCTGGAGCACAGGGCATAGAACACAAAGGGCCAACTCTGGTTGCCTAACCTCAAAATCAGATCCTTTGCTGATTTTGAAGATTGGACAGACAGCTGGAAGTAATCTCCTCAATAATTTGTCCTTAGAATATCTAAATCAAGAGAATTTTAGGGACCATCTATTCCTGTGCTCCCAATGGTAAAATCGAAGCCTGGTCAAGGGAAGTAGTTTGTCCCAAGGCTGGTGTGACTCAGGATTTCAGTCACATTCATCCAGGCTTTTCAATGCGCCAAGCTGTCTTAAAAGCAAGAGCTAAATTATTTGTAATCTAGAAGATTAAAGTTCCATGATACTTAAAGAAAATTGTAATTTTTCTCCAAAGATGTGTGCTGATTTGCAGGTATTGTGTCCTCACCTCCATTGTAGCGGCTTTGAGAATTTGACTTAAAGAATTTCACCTTAATCTCTAAGCAGAAAACTGGGAAATAGATTTGGGTTTATCTTCCCCTGAAACCAAAGTTGAGGATGCCTGAGACAACGGGGGCTTGATTCATTCCTCATTATCCATTCCAGTCCCCCACCTTCAGGTGGAGAAAATTGCCCTAATGGTTTTCATGATGATAGCTTAGGGGGATCATTTGTAAGAAATACAAAGAAGTTGCCTTTGAAGATCATTTCCCATGACATAAAAAAAAATTCAAAAGCAACTCCCAAAAATCACAGGATAATGAAATGCAAACTTCTGTATGTCACTTTGACTTTTGTGTGTCACTTGGTGGCTATTTTGAAACTGAGAACTTTCCTAATCCATCACATTTTCCTGAAAACTATCTGTGAAATTGCTGAAAATTTCCATGCTGATTCTTGCTGAGGCCTGTTCATCTTTAATTTCACTTCTGGGTAGGAAAAAGGAGAGAAGAACCAAAGAAAAAATGTATATTTCAGCCAGAATTTTACAAACCTGTCAGAACCTTTCATTCTATGTTCAGGAGAAGAAGGAAATAAAGAGAAACCAAGGAAAGATAGTTCCAGGGAATGTGGGTACATGAAAGATCTAGTAGCTTCCACCTGTTTTAGTAGTAGAATATTCCCTTCTAATAAAATCTGATGACTTAAAATGAAGTTACTAAATTTGAAGTGGAAATAGGGAACCCATAAACCTGCTCACCAAACCTCCTCCTTGCTCACTCTCTTCTTTTCATGCCCCCTCTTGCCATTAGAGAAATGTTGCATTTTTCAGAAAACAGTTTAAAGCCAGATTTCATCCAACTCATTTTAAAGTTGGAGTCCCGGAGGCCCAGAAAGATGTGACTTGCTTGAGACCTCCCAAAGGATTAGTAACATCAGGGCTGAAACAGGCATCTTGACCCCCAGTCTAAGGCTGTCTCCTATATCAGACTGTTTCTAGATGATCATTGTCAATTTTTTTGTTGCTTTTATATCTTTCATATTTATGTCTAACTTTTTTCACTTGATGTAGCATAAACATATTAGCACGCTGATAAAGATTAGCCTACAACATTTTTATGGCTTCATGTATTTCATTGTGTAGCTACAGTATATATCTTTCTAGGTCTCACCCCACCCCCTTTTTTTTTGGTTGTCAAATGATCTTTAATTGAAATATTTTCCTTTGTGCTTCTTAACTAGCTGGACATTCCCCTGCACCACCGTTGATATCATCTATGATGTCATGAGTGTGGCAGCCATCAATATTGCAGCCCACAGACTGGGCAGTCCCCAGGATCTCTTTAATGGTTCCAGAGAGCTCTCTAGCTAAAGATCGGTGCTGCATCTGTTGGGGAATGTTAACAATCTCATCAAAAGTGATATTTCCAGCCCTGGCCAATGTGGCTCAGTTGGTTGAGTGTCAACCCATGCACTGAAAGGTTGACGATTCGATTCCCAGTCAGGGCACATGCCCAGGCTGCAGGTTCAATCTAACATGCCTGAAGATGTTTCGCCCTTTCCCTTCCTCTCTCTAAAAAAAAAAAAAAAAATCAATTAAAAAAAGTTATATTTCCACTGTGCTTAAGGTTTTCTTCTTTCTGTCTCTTGGCGGTTCTTTGAGGGCTTTGCTGATCAGGGCAGAGGCAGAAGTTACTACCGCAATCTGGGCCTGTCTGTACTGAATTGTCAGTTTCACTGTAATCTTGTTTTATTTTTAATTTATTGATATTTTTAGAGAGAGAGAAACACTGATTTGTTGTTCCACTTATTTATTCATTCATTGGTTGATTCTTGTATGTGCCCTGATCAGGGATCAAACCCCTAACCTTGGCCTATCAGACCACACTCTAACCAACTGAACTACCTGGCCAGGGATCACTGTAATCTTTAGAACCTTCCAATCACTGGTTGCTTTGGCAATGTCATCACCAACCTTTTTTTGGAGACAGACCCAGCTGATCTTGGAAGCTAGGACAGATGTGGCACCAAATTCCCTACCAGTGCAGCTTAGGTATACAATTTTGATCTTGTTGGGATTAAACTTTGGTGGCCTGGTGGATATGGCTGGTGCCAGATGAACCCACTGAAGACAACCGAAGGAAGTTGCACCTAGGCCTCCTCTGAGCCAAAAGCCAAAAAGCCCAGGTCCCCTTTTATAGGACATTTAGGTGTTTTCCAGTTTTTTGCTGTTAACAGCATTATAATAAACAACATCACAGTAAATGTTCTTTTACACATAGCTTTGCAAACATCTAAAATATTTCCTTAGGATAAATTCCTAAATGTAGAGTTGCTGAGTCAAAGGTTATGGCTTTTGATACATGCTGTCAGATTGCCTTCCAGAAAGGTATCAGTTACACTTGCACCAGCAGTGTCAGCTTTCTACAAGCTTCCAAACTAGGTACTACATTTTTTTTAATAATTAAAATATAACTTACATACAGAAAAGTGTACAAATTATAAGTATATATCTTTTAAAATTTTTGTGAAATACATATAATATAAAATTTACTATTTTACCATTTTTAAGTGCACAATTCATTAGCATTAAATACATTCACATTGTTCTACAACTATCATCAGCATCCAATTCAGGAATTCTTTTCATCATGCAAAACTGTAAGTCTGTACCAAGTAAACAATAACTCTCCATTATTTGATGAATTTTTTAAAACACAAAACCAGCTTCCAGATCAATAAATAAAATATTACCAATTTCCCTAAGCTCCCCTAAATATCTCTTTCTAGTAACTAAATCCACACACAAAAGGATGAGTTCCAGATAGGTTCTGTTTATAGGAATGCCAATTTGATAAAATAATGGTATCTTACTGTCAACTTAATTTCTTTTAATTATTTAAGGAGGCTGAACTCTTTAAAATATGACTTTGACCATTTGCATTTCTTCTTTAGGAATGTTAGATGTTATTTAACCCTCAAAAACCCAGTGTGAGAAAAATCAACAGAACCAAGAGTTGGTTCTTTGAAAAGATCAACAAAATTGACAAAACTTTAGCTAGATTGAATAAGAAAAAAGAGAGAAGACGCAAATAAGTAAAATCAGAAATAAAAATGGGGCCATTACTACCAATTCTACAAAAATAAAAAGGGTCATAAGAGATTACTGTCAATAATTATATGCCAACAAATTGAATAACCTAGATGAAATGGACAAATTCCTAAAAACACATAACCTACCAACACTGAATAATGAGGGAAAAGAAAATCTGAAGAAACCTAACTAGTAAAGAGATTGATTCAAGTGGGATTTATTCCTACGATGCAAGGAAGATTCAACATATAAAAATCAATCAAAGTAATACATCATATTAACAGAATTTAAAAAACAACAACACATCATCTCAATGCAGAAAAATTTTTTTGAAAAATATAATGCCTTTTCATAATGAAAACAATCAACAAGCTAGTAACAGAAGGACACTACCTCAACATAATAAAGGCCACATATAAAAAAAAATCCACAGCAAACATCACACTCAATAGTAAAGTTGAAATCTTCCTTTAAGATCAGAATCAAGGCAAGGATGCCCACTTTTACTGCTTATCCACAATGAAGTGATGGGCATTCTAGACAGAACATCTAGGCAAGAAAAAGAAAAAACATTTAAATTAGAAAGGAAGTAGTAAAAATTTCTCTGCTTACAGATGATATGATTTTATTTGTAGAAAATCCTAAAACTGTTAGAACAAATAAATGAATTCAGCAAAGTAACAGGATACAGTGTCAACACACAAAAATCAGAAATCAGTTACATTTCTACACACTATGAACAATATCAAAATCCCAATGAGGTTTTTTGCAAAACTAGAATAACCAATCCTAAAATTCATATAGAATCTCAAGGAATCCTGAATAGCCAAAACTCCTGCAAAAGAAGAGCAAAGCTGAAGAATTCACACTTCCTGGTTATAAGACTTATTACAAAGCTAGAGTAATCAAAACAGTGTGGTACTAGCATAAAGACAAATATATAGACCAATGGAACAGAACAGAGCGCACAGAAAAACACCTTGCATATATGGTTAAATGATTTTGACAAGACTGTGCCAAGGTGGAAAAAGATAATCTTTTCAACAAATGGTGTTGGAAAAACTGATATCCATACGCAAAAGAATGAAGTTGGGCTTTATACCACATGCAAAAATTACCTCAAAATGGTTCAAAGACCTAAACATAAAAGCTAAAACTGTAAAACTCTTAGAATAAAACAAAAGGGAAAGCTTCATGACATTGGATGACAACCATGTCTTGCATATGACATCAAAAGCATAGACAACAAAAGAAAAAACAAAGTTGGACTTCATTAAAATTAGAAATTTTTGTGCATCAAAGGGTAATATCACAGAGTGAAAAGACAATGTACAGAAAGAGCTAAAATATCTTCAGATTATGCATCTGATAAGGGATTGAGATCCAGAGTATATAAGAAACTTGTACAACTCAACAACTAAAACAACCAATTGAAAAATGAGCTAAGTATCTGCATAGAGATTTCTCCAGTGAAAACATACAAATGGCCAGTGAGCATAAGGAAAGATGTTCAACATCACTAGTCATTAGGAAAATGCAAATCCAAGCCAAGATAAGATACCACTTCACACACATTAGAATGGCTATTGTAAAACAAAACAAAACTGAAAATGACAAGTGTTTGTGAGAGTGTAGAGAAATTGGAGCCCATGCGTATTGCTGGTGGGAATGGAAATGGTTCACTCACTATGGAAAAGGGCATGGCAATCCTTCAAAAAGTTAAACAATTACTTTATGAATGAACATGTCTACTTCTGGATATATACCCAAAGGAAGTGAAAGCAGATATTTGTACATACATGTGTATAGCCGTACTGTTCATAATAGCTCTAGAAGTGTTTTTCTATGTTTAAAATTTATTTTTAAGTACAGTTTAAGTGTAAGATAACCATGAAGCCCTTAAAGATGGAAAAATTGGTGAAAATGGCCAACAAAAAAATAACTTCCTTGCACCCCTCCTCCACCAACCGCCTCTCACAATCATATCTTCTGCATCCACTCTTGCACCTTTACTTTCCCATTTATTTCCTTTGGTTTATATCATGGTCGTTTGTGTGTCTTTCTTGCCATTAGATTGTAAACCTTCCAAAATAAGAACCTGTTTCCCTCACAGCATACTTAGTTTAGCACAGGGCCTTCTTAGGTGACTCTGGGCAAGTTGGCCGTCCTCCTAATTTCAGTTTCCATTTCTGTAAAACAGGAATAATGACACCCATCTTGCAAGTTCCTGGGAAGATTCAATAAGGTCGTGTCTGTGGATGGCTAGCCTAGTGCCAGGCACACTGTAGGCCCTTGATAAATGGGAAGACCCCTTCTTCCCTTAGTGGATATTGAATTAGCAGATGAATCAACAGATTTGAATAGAGAAGTATTGTAAAATTCACAACAAAGGAATTCAGAGAAACATTTGTGATCTTGGTAATGTTAACAAATAACACTAGGATTATGAAGTCCTAACAGTTGTTAAAATACCTAGAGCAAATCCTTTGTTTCAAAAGAATCTTGTCTTCTTCCATGGTGCTCTGACTTTCCTCATGCAGGTTTGGGTTCAAGAATCTTTTTAGGCTTTCCCAGAGAACCCTGGGCACTCAAAAGTTGGTAGGATGATTTTTTTTTTTTAGACTATAGCTGCAAATCAGACAAAATCCATGAGATATTCAAAATTAAATATCATTTAAAATGCTCAAAAGAATTAATTGCCCCACTCTAGGGATATGTAAGAATGCAAGATTCTAAGATTCCTTCAAGTTCCAAAGTCTTTAAAACTCAAAATTTTAAATGGAAACATTAACATATTCTAGGATCCTATCAAATGCAATCTGGCCGGAGTGGCTCAGTTGGTTGAGTGTCATCCTGTACACCAAAAGGTTGATGGTTGGATTCCCGATCAAGGTAGATGTGGCTTCAGTCCCCGGTGGAAGGCAACTGATCCATGTTTCTGTCTCACAGCGATGTTTCTCTCCACCTCCCCCTACACCTGGCCCTCTATCTCTCCATTCCTCTCTTTCTAAGCATGTCCTTGGGTAAGGATTTAAAAAAATAAATTAAAAAAAAAAAAAGAAATGGCATAGATGTATCTCAAGAACCAAGAAATGCAAAATTCTATTAATTAATTAACATGAGTAGAATGTGAGAAGAAGGAAGGAACAATTAGGAAATGTGTATATTTAACTTTAGCTGTGTTATAATCTACTTGAAGTTGATGAGTCATTTATGTAATTTTAAATAAGTTTCAATATTCTGTAGTCATTCATAACCTCAGCAAATATTTCTCTTCCTAGTCTGCATCTTGTAACTCTGGGAAGTTTTATAATTTAATAAAGAAAGCTTTAAGAGAATCAAACCATATTATTAGTACAATTGGTATTTTATATACTTTTATGTTAAGAAAAATTGTCTACAAATTGGAAAAGCCTACTAAATTGCCCAGCACAGTGAATGAAAAGAGGCTCACCTAAAGGCACATTATCTTAAAATTTCAAGCTACGAACTATAAAAAGAAATTCCTGGAAGTTTCCAGAGAGGGGAAAAACAGATGACATCTTGAAATTGGAATGTAACACTGGAAACTAGAAGACAGTGGAGCCTTTCCAAATTCTGAGGGGAAAATTGGGTTATCAACCTAGTTTTCCTCACCTAGCCGTACTATTAACTGTCAGAATAGAATTACGATATTTCCAACCTAGAAAGATTCCACAGATTTACCTTACATATCTCCTTAACAGAGAAACTATTGGATGCTGTGCTCCAGTAAAATGAGGGAATAAAGCTACAAAGAGAATGAAATATGATGGAGGAAACAGAAGACACGGCACAGGAAAATGGTGAAAAGAAGTCCTAAGGTGATAGCTTGTGGCAGATCTAGAAATCCAGCCCTTACTCCAGAGCAGAGCAACAGAAGGCTCCGGAACAGAGATGTCCAGGGGGAAAAATGAAATTGATTAAATATCTGATATATTTGACCAGCTGAAAAATAATATTTGAAAGATATATAGTAGGGCCCAGCCAGGCGTGGCTCAGGGGCTGAGCATCGACCTAGGATCCAGGAGATCGCGGTTCGATTCCTGGTCAGGGCACATGCCCAAGTTGTGGGTTCGATCAGAATTCAGGGACCTGCAGGAGGCAGCGATCAACGACTCTCATCACTGATGTTTCAACTCTCTCTCTCCCTCTCCCTTCCTCTCTCTGAAATCAATAAAGATATATTAAAAAAAAAAAAGAAAAAAAAGAGAAAGATACATAGTAGGTCTCATGGAACACATAAAGGAAGTTAATTTTATGAGTATTGAAAACTAAGTAAATGTAAAAGTGAAGCAATAACTGTAGAAAAGACAACAACAAAAGGGTAAAAGCTAAAGTGCAATCATAGTATATTCCATGTTCCACATAACAGGTGAATAATGCTTATGATATCATAATAATGCAAATACTGATTACTGATTGAACAAACAATTGTGATGCTGGGAGGAAGAAGAGAGGAAGTGGGAGTGGTGAGTGTAAGGAGCTAAATCCTCACTTACCATAATAAGAAATCAATAAATAATGTCTGAACTTAAAAAAATCAAGAAATGGCAGTATGAGGATATGGTTAAGGATATGAAAGGACAGGCATACCTCAGAGATGTGGTGGCTTCAGTTCCAGACCACCACAATAAAGCAAGTAGCACAATAGAATGAATCGTAATCTTTTTGCTGGTGGAGGGTCTTGCCTTCAATCTGGAAAAAATGCAACATCTGTGAACTACAATAAAGCAAAGCACAATAAAATAAGGTGTGCTTGCAGATATTAAAAAAAATACAGGTAACGTAGTAGTCTGGGTAGCGGAACTGCTGGGTGGGGACTGGTAGGAAAAGGGTCACTAAGTTCCATGATAAGCCTGCCATACTGATATTTTAATTACTTGTATGTATAAATATGTTATGTTAATGATTCTGCAATAAATATATTTGTGTGTTTGTAAGTAGACATATCTATACATCTATGTGTATACCTTTGCACTTACTTCTGAGTATGCCCTTGCAATGAATTCCAAAAAGTAGAATTTCAAGGTCAGAAGTATGTATATATATTCAAGGCTTTTGATACAGGCTGCCAAATAAATCTCCAGCAGTACTAGGCTGATTTTCACTCTTCTCAGCAGAGAACTAGCCTGGCCCATCACCACCCCACCAGGTTGCCAGCAGCTCCAAATCCAATTTAGCAGGAGGTTATTGTTGTTTGCCTCCTGTGCCATTGCTCTGCCATCTATTACAAACCAACATTATGAGCTGAGAAGGTTGTTTGATCAAAGAGAAGCCTGAACCAAAAGTTCTATTTTTGGTTCTGCTACTGCCTGTCTATGTGGTTTTGAAAATATCTCTTTTTCTGGCCTCAGTTTTAGCATCTGTAAATTAAGGAGCTTTGGACCAGAACAGTACTTCTTAACAGTTTTACTACTAAGGCTCCTCCCTTGGATACCGGTTTTTATCTAATAAACAAATCGCATTTACTAAGAAATTATTTATTGTCTTTCCTGATGTGTATTACTTATACAAGGTGACAGTCAGTGAGAATTTCTGAATAGTAGGGGAGAAATACCTTTGATAAGATAAGTGAATGAATAAATTCAAGCCAAAAGAATTTTATTTTCCAGCTTGCACTGCCAGCCTGAAGCAAATACAGAACTATGTTGAAATACTCCCAGGCCCCCTGCTGTTTCCAGATTCCCCAGGGTAAGTGGGGTGGGGTAACTCTCTCAGGCCCCAAAATCCATTTTCTCTCTATACACCGCCATTATCAGGAGTTTATTCTGTCAGTGTTGTTCTCCTGTTAAATCAGTTTACCAACTGACCTTGTGCGTATTTACTGGAGCTAGGTTACAGCAAAGGCTACTGGAGCAAAGATTGGTACTTTGCCCTATGAGGAAAGAAGGAAGGAGAGAGGATTTGTTGTGAAGTTAATGAAGCTCATGTTTCAAGGCCCCTCACTCGCTGGGGCCCTGGTGAGGGGTGGGAGCTGCTGGGAGCTGTAGTCTGGGAGTTGAGGAGACGAAGCAGTTTTCGATCAAGAAGCATTTTTGTGTAAGCATTTCTGGAGAACTTCCTTAAGATCTCAGAAAAGAGAGATCTGAATCTCTGAGCCTTCAATAATTTGTCCTGATTTCGTTTCTCATCCTAAACAAATATCCACGTTCATACTTAATACTGTACTCATAATTCTATATTCTTTTTCTTGGAGAGGACCTCTAGAATTGTGAAAGCTCAGGTCCTACAAAATCTGGATTTGCTGAGCATATAGACATATCGTGCTCATAGCAAGATAAAAGCTAGTGATCTGGCTTCTCCGCTGGAAGCACAGGGGAAACGGTTCTTACACTTCTCNTGTTTTATCTTCTTATTAGCAAGGCTCTAGATGAGATTATGACTTGAAGTTTCTTTCAGCTCTGAGATGAGGCATTTTATTCTATGTATATTAGTGTATATATAGTAAAAAAGAATTATATGCATTCTTTTTTTTAATATATCTTTATTGATTTCAGAGAGAGGAAGGGAGAGGGAGAGAGAGAGAGATAGAAACATCAATGATGAGAGAATCAGTGATCGGCTGCGGCCCACAACCCGGGCATGTGCCCTAACCAAGAATCGAACCCCGATCTCCTGTATCCTAGGTCGATGCTCAACCGCTGAGCCATGCCCGGCTGAGCTCTCCATCTTTGACCAGCATATTTGCACAGGCATGCTTCAGTCCTATAACATGAGAGCACACAAGTAACTAGCAATTCCTGTGCAGACCCAGATTACTGCAGCTACTTCTCTGGAGACACTGAGCGGCCATGTGAGAGTGATCAACCATTCAAATACTTTCTCAATTTCTTCTTGACTGTTGCTTTCAAATCTCCCTACCCCCAGCTTTTTCCTCTCCCTTCTAATACATTTCTTTTAATTAAAAAAAAAGATTTTTTATTAACTTTTAGAAAGAGAGAGGAAGGAAGAAGGAAAGAGAGAGCAATATCAATGTGAGATTGAAACATCAATTGGCTGCCTTCTGCACACCTCCTACCCGGGGTTGAGCCTGCAACCTGCAACCAGAAACCCGGACATGTGCCCTGACTGGGAATCTAATGGGCAACCCTTCAGGGCATGGACCATGCCCAACCAACTGAGCCATATTGGCCAGGGTCTTTCTAATACATTTCAAAAGCAATGTGTTTGCTTTCTTATGCCTGGCACATTTGAAAGCATGCAATAAATAATTACTAAATAAATAGTTTAGAAGAAGGAATCCTACCCTTTCTGGTTCCCAGCCTCTGACAAAAGTGCTAACAAGCTATAAAATTACAAAAATACACTCTTTTGGTGTGGCTCAGTGCTTGAGTGTCAATCATGAACCAGGAGGTCACAGTTCGATTCCTGTTGGAGTCTCCAGTCAGGGCACATGACTGGTTGTGGGCTCAATCCCCAGTAAGGGGCGCGCAGGAGGCAGCTGACTGATGATGATTCTCTCTCATCACCGACGTTTCTGTCTCTCCTTCCTTCCTCTCTCTGAAATCAATAAAAACATATTTAAAGTAATAAAATACAGGTTCCAGGGCTGTGTCCCTAGAAGTTGCCATCAGTAGTTTGGGAAGGACTCAGGAAGCCACATTTTGATTAAGGCCCCTAGTGATTCTGAGGAAGGCCACTTCTTGAGAAACACCATGAAAGAGACTGGGTCTGGCTGGGTGTAGAATTTACCCATCTCTTGCAACTACTCCTTATGTTGCTAATTCTCATAACCAATATCTGTCTGGGGGTGGTTCCAGAGAAGATGTGGCCCCTTGAGGTTGAAGCAATCTTTAAATTTGTTTTCTTTGGGGAAAAAGTATTCACAGCTGCTATTGTGGAAACAGTGAAGACTTGGAAAATCAAGCAGATCTGGATTCAAATGATTACATCTCTCTGAGCCTCAATTTACCCATAAAATAGGGACTATAGTGCCACCCATAATTAATGTGAGGATTATATACACTGACTTACATGAAAGAGTTGTATGCAGGGCATGGAAGATGAAGAGTTTCCCCTGAGAAGGATGAGATACTTGGAATTTTCCCATTTAGTCCCTGGTAAAATATAATGGAGTCACTAGATGCCCGCTGTTATTTCTGCCTTAGTCCAGGGTGGGAAACGCCCCACCCAAGAGCCATGTATCATCTGGTCTGGCCCTGCCCAGGCCTCACCAAAGAGAAGCAGCTCCAGCCATCACATTAGGGGTGACTTAATGAAATATTTGACCAAATGTAACAGGCTAATTTTTAAGTTGATAATTTTGTATGGCCCGCAAATAATGTTATAAATACCCAAATGACCCTTGGCAGAAAAAAAGTTCCCCACCCCTGCTAGTCAAATGTGGTTCATGAATCGTTTAGGGAAAACAAAGGCAGGAGGGTGGCTGGGAGCGCCATGAAGGGAAAAGGAGAGAAAAGGCTGAGGGAGAGGGGAAGCGTGTAGGGCAAAACCAGAGGCACCTGAGAACAACCTTTTCCAATGTGATCGTCTTAACATGGGCCCAGGGAGCCTGATGTAAACAGTTGCTTTCAGCTTGTCCTCCTAGTTGCCACGTGAGGAGATGTTCGGGGAGTACTGGACACAGAAAAATTTTACCTCCTCTATTGGTGGGAAAGTTGTTCTCAGTGTAAAAGGTACTGAAATTTTAAGTTTTTCTAAAGGAAGGTCTCTCTTTGAGAGAATATCTTGATAATCCTCTTGAAGTAGAAGGTAAAACCCTAGGGGCATGACTGTGGCTTGATAAACCACTTTAAGTGAATTGAGGAGTTTGGTGTTGCTCCTGAGAGGGCCAGGAAAGGAAGCATGGGGTGGGATAGAGAAAGAAGGAAATGGCATGAGGTTGGGGGTTACGTGGAGGGAAAGTGGTTGGAGTAAACTCCATAGCAGTGAGGTAGCCAAATGACATCAGAAGAAGAAAACAAAAAAGTCTGGTGTTCACACTGAAAGTTTTGGTGGTAATGTAACCAAGGTGATGATTAATAGCCACAAAGTTAGATTTCCTTTTTTTTTTCTCTCCTGTGCCCCTCCCCTGGATTTTCCACATGCATCTTTCACTCTTAGGATGCTTACATTCCAGCTTTGGCAGAGATTCCTGTCTCAGTTGCAGGCTGAATCCCCACCCCGATAGGGTGTGTGGGGGAGGCAACCAATCAATGTGTCTCTCTCACATCAATGTTCCTCTCTCTCTCTCTCTCTTCCACCCTCTCTGAAAAGCAGTGGAAAAAATATCCTTGGGTAAGGATTTTAAAAATAAATAAATAAGTAACATACCAACAAGTGAGATAAGTACCTTGATATGATGTGATGAGAAGGGTACTTTACTTCTGTGGTCTTTCTCTCAAAAACCTGTAACTCCCATCCACTTGTGAGAAAAATATGAGACAAATCTCAGTTGAGAAGCATCCTACAAAATACCTGACCAGCGCTCCCCAAAACTATCAAGGCTATCAAAAACAAGGAACTCTGAGAAACCCTCACAACCAAGAGGAGCCTAAGGAGCCATAATGATTAAATGTATGTGGCATCCTGGATGGGATCCTGGGACAGAAAAAAGACATTAGGCAAAAACTGAGGAAAACTGAATAAAGTACGGATTTCCATTCATAATGATATATTAATATTGGTCCATTAATTGTGACAAAAGACATTAATAATAAAGAAAACTGAGTGAGGGGTATAAGAGAACTATATTAGTTCATTAATTGTGACAAAAGAAGTTAATAATGGGGTATAAGAGAACGCTCTGTTTTTATGTTTACAACTTTTTGTAACTAAATCTTCTCTAAAATAAAAAGTTTATTGAAAAAGTAATAAAGAATAATGCCTAATTTCAGAACATTAAGGATATAAATTAAAACTGGGTGGAAAATCACCACAAATGCCATAATTCAGCCCTTTGCTGTATCTGCCTGTGTGTATGTGTGTGTGTGTGTTTAATAAAAACTACCATACTGGGTATACAATTTTCTGTCTGGATTATTTTACTTAACATTTATTATTAAGCTTTTCAATTTCTTTAAATTTATTGATTTGAGAGAGAGAGAGAGGAAGGAAGAGAGAGAGAAAAAAACATTGATTTGTTCCAATTATTTATGGATTTCTTGGTTGATTCTCCTATGTGCCCCTGACCAGGGATCGAACTCACAACCTTGGGGTACAGGATGATGCTCTAACCAACTGAGCTGCCTAGTCAGGGCTAGCTGTTTGACCTTGAGCAAAGTATTTAATTTTTTTGTGCCTCAGTTTCCTTATCTGTAAAAGGGAAATGATAATAACAGTTCCTGTATCATAATGATTATTAGGATGCTTGACTGGAGTTAAGACATGTAAAATGCTTAGAACAGAAACTGGCATATATAAAATGAGAAATAATTGCTGGTTATTATTATTCCTCAGGCAGAAAGTTTTATTTTTTATATAGTCAGATCAAGTTTTTTTCTTCATGACTTCTTGATTTTCTCTCCTGTTCAGGAAGGTTTTATGGACCCCAAGAATATAAAAATTATGTTTCCAGTATCTCCTTCTAGTATTTTTAAAAAATATATCTTTATTGATTTCAGAAAGATTCCAAAGAGAGAGGGAGAGAGAGATAGAAACATCAATGATGAGAGTCATTGATCAGCTGCCTCCTGCACGCCCCCTGCTGGGGACAGAGCCCGCAACCCGGGCATGTGCCCAGACTGAGAATAGAACCNATGATGAGAGTCATTGATCAGCTGCCTCCTGCACGCCCCCTGCTGGGGACGGAGCCCGCAACCCGGGCATGTGCCCAGACTGAGAATAGAACTTTGATCTCCTGGATCCTAGGCCGATACTCAACTGCTGAGCCATACAGACTAGGCTCCTTCTAGTATTTTTATAGCTTGCTGTCTATCTCAAAATCTGTAAAAATACGCTAGGCATTGTGTTGGCTGCTGGGGATACAAGGATAAGCAAGACCAAGGGCTTGTTCCTTGCCCTCCTGGAGCTTACAATGTAGTGGGGAAACAGACAAAAACCAAGACACCAATTAATAAAATAATAAATTAGGT